GTTTCCCGAGTGGAGCTGTATTAACCGGTCTTTTCCTCCGGCCGCAGCGCCGCTTGCAGAGGCAGACCAGCGGGGAGATGAGAGTCATAGAGGTACATTAAAACACATCTATACACTTTTCTTCATCTTCTTGTATGAATTATTTTAATGTTACTTGCTCACTTTCCTAGTAAAGCTGTGCTAACCAGTATTTTCCTCCCGCAGTGTGCTGGCAGACCGGCGGGGAGACTCGTGAAGACGAAATAAAGCAGTAAGAGAACATTAAATTGTTAGATCAACTTTAAAACACATGTAATCCGCTTATTTGTTTTATACCAATGCTATCTGTAAAGTATAAATGCGTTTGGGTGAATAAATGTCTGTAAGAACATCGGATGGACTGTATTTGTGTCATTTTGTGAGGTTAATGTTAATAAAAATAGATTGTGGCCATTTGTCTCCTGCAGCATCTGAATTAGTGATGGCGAAGGGAACACTTGAGATGTGCGTTTCGCTTTGTTTTCTCTGAGGAGCTTTAGTGTGATTTTCCAGCCATCATAGCGAGTCTTTACAGTCTCAACCATCCAACCGCCGAACAGGACGGGGCTTCTGCACATACTTCTGAAAGTGTCTCAGAGTGGAGCAGTTTTTGATGTCTGACGCAAATGTGCCAATTATTGTAAGTCCATCCTGGTAGAACTGCCTTCTCACCACTAGAGGTCAGTGACCGTTACTGGAATCATGTTTCATTCCTAAATGTGAATCCAACTCAGCATTACGATTCAACAATGATGATTAAACTGTGGTTCTGAATAAACAATACTTTATGAAGATACTTTCAGAAAACATAAGCTTGCAGATAAAAGGTATTTGTTAAATGCATAATAGTAGGTAATAGAAATTCATTCAAATATGAATTTGTTATTAATTTATAAATTGTATGTATAAATTGCCATGCAAATCAACTCAGTACACTTCACATCGATACAGATATACCCTGGATGATGTGATTCTCAGTGTGATTTCATGAGGTTGTAGCGAATCAGCTCATGGGAAATATGAATAATTAATCATAATTAGTTATAATTAATATAACAAAACAGACTTAATAGGATTAATACTGGTAACAACATTCAATTTATTATTTTGCCAGATGCTGGGAAATTACTTTTAAATTTAAAGGGATAGTTCACCCAAAAATAAAAACTACCTCATGTTTTACTCACCCTCAAGCCACCCTAGGTGTATATGACTTTCTTCTTTCAGACAAATACAGAGTTATATAAAAAAATGTCCTGGCTCTTCCAAGCTTTATAATTGGAGTGAATGGGGGTTGAGATTCAATAGTCAAATACAAGTCCAATAAACTCTGCCCATCATAAAAAAGTGCTCCACACAGGTCTGGGAGGTTAATTAAGGTCCTGAAGTGAACTGACGCATTTTTGTAAGAAAAATAACCATAATTAAAACTTTATAAACCATAATCTCTAGCTTCCGCTATTTGTTGTATATGCGTTCACGAGAGAGTGGCATTCCAGCTGGATGACGTAGGCGTAGTGTAAGATCCGGGACATTTTTACTTTGGATGGATGAATCTCACCCCCCATTCACTGCCATTATAAAGCTGGGAAGAGCCAGGACATTTCTAAATATAGCTTCTATTCGTCTCAAGGTAGAAAGTCATATACACCTAGAATGGCTTGAGGGTGAGGAAATCATGGGGCAATTTTAATTTTTGGGTTAACTATCCCTTTAAGGTATATATTTTTATCAGTTCATGTTTCCCTGGGATTTGAACCCATGACTATGGCTTCCCTATCACCATGTTTTACTGTTTGGGCAACAAGAAACTACTGACGATCCCACCTTCCCAACAATTTTGCACTCCACACTTCAATCCAGTAGGTCTCAGGAATGCACCATTTAGGTTACATTTTTAATTATGTCTGACTTAAAGTGTCTTTTCAAGCCTATCACCATCACGGACTCAAGAATGAGACCATGCAAGGTTTTGTATGCATGAATGTTTATTAGCTGCAGGTCAGAAGTCTGAACACACATATATTTATGTGAACAAATACATAAAAATTAGGTTACATGTTTTTTTTCCCCGAGTTTGGTTACACTCACCTCTCTCCTAAGCATATTTACCCCTTTTGTTACTAAGAAGAAGCTATTCTCCACAGTCACTTAGTGAAAAATTTAAGGGGGTGACGGTTCTTTGTGTACCCACTGTATATTTGAACGTAAAATAAGATGATTAAAGGCAAGACGGAGGCTGACTGACATACTTTAAAATATATTTCAGCATTTTGTTAATCGACGGCCTACCCCTGAGTACCCCAATCTGATCGCGGCTCTCCCGGGGTTAGTTCTAAGGAGGGAACCTCAACGGGCTTGCCGGAGATCTCCAAGGAAAAGGTTGGTATGCAAACTTAATCAGTTCATTAACAGTAGTCATTTATGTGCTGTCATACCTGTTTACTACCGTGTAGACTTTATTTGGGCAGCGAGATTTATTACAGAACACAGCATGCTCTCATGCTTTATACAAAGTTCATTTTATTTGTTTCTGGTAAGAAACCAATACAGGATCAAAACCACAGTGTAATAAAATTTAAGTTAAGTTATTAGAAGGGTTTGTTAAACTTTAATGACTTCATGAAGACAACTAAACAATTGTTAAACTGATTGTTTACTGAATCATGTGTGACAGGAAGCCAGCACCTCAAACTCCACTGAGGACACATTTCACAGTACATCACAACAGAGTGACTCTACCTATGGTAAGTTTAAACCGCTATTTGTATCTGTTTTTAGTTACTGATTGCACGTTTTATTTCATGCAGCACTGCACAGAAATTTGACAACTGTGTTGGCAGAGGGAAATCCGGGAAGTCGTTTGACGGCTGGTTCGCAGATGATGGTCCTGCAGAGTCAAGGAGAGGAAGCTGTAAAACAGAAGAAAATAACATATATTAGTAACATTCCAAGTTTCCTTTCTCTTTTTATCCATTTACAGAAGAACATGATATGGGCGACCATGGAGAGGAGCTGAGAACTCTGCAGGACGCATTAGCCAATCACAAGCAGGACGTCATAAATCTGAAGTTTTACTCAAGTCAAAGGATGGCCAACTCCATCATCTTCAAAAGGAACTTCAGTATGCACACACCTCAGATGCTTTAAACCCTAAGATTTTAAACCAAAGCCATGTACCTGATTATTTCCACTACTGCACAGGGTTTTCTTATGAGCAATTACACTGCTTGTGTCAATTTTTTAACATTCCAACTGATCCAAGTGCACCACAAACACACATTCCTCTCTCATACAAACGTGTCAATAATGAGATCAAACAACTTTCACTGCGTACTCAATTGTTACTGACCTTAATGAAATTAAAACAAAATTTGGACCAGAAAGACCTAGCCTTCAGATTTAACATCCACGAGGTGCAGTTATTTATGTGTCTGCCCTCTTCACCGGAGCAATTTCTGACAAAGAGATTTTCAATGAGTGCAGCATCCTTGACATTTTGAAGGGGTAGATTCAGTGTGGCTGTCTCAATGTAGGAGATGGCTTGATGGTTGATAAAGGCTTTCTAATAGAGAAGGAAGTTGAGGAGATTGGTTTGCAACTTAACATTCCACCTTTTGCAAGAGCAAACAGACAGATGCCACATGCAGATGTTGAAATGACCAAAAGAATAGCTAAGCACAGGGTTCATGTTGAAAACTATTGTAAAGATAAAGAAGTTTAGAATTGTGTCAGGCCAAATCCCGATTTCCCGGCTTGTGAACATAAATCAAATATGGTATGTAGTCAGCATGCTGTCTAACTTCCAGCCACATATCATCAAAGATTAAGGTTGTCTGTGTATAGAAGAGCTGAGTGGTCAAGGAAGATCACGCTGACGTGGTGCACTGGCCTGTACATACAAGTTGAGTGAATTTCATATAAAATACACAATAAAGAATATCTACTTTAATACTGCTTCATCTCATTCATTTACCTGATGGCTCAAACCACTTCCTAGTGGGTATCTCTCTCCTCCTACAGTTATGTCAACAGGGGGTCTGTTTACCAAGTAGCTGCTGGGTGCTCCTGTCTGTCTTTTTAATAAAGCAATTTTCTGCTCTGTACCTGAGAAGGTCCTGAAAAAGAATACCCTATCAATACAAAGCTAGGGGTTTTATATGACAAAACTTTGCTGTACATGGAAACCTGCCTCTCTAATGTTATGGTTTGTATATTATAGTATTGTTTTATTTTCATTAGGCTATTGATTGAATTGACATTATTGTTTATTTCTATTCTCCTTAATGTAGTCTTGCCAACATTTTAAAACTGTTCACTGTTAATTTTAACTATTGCATTGTTTTTACTTGTTTGTCACTTTGGACAAAAGTGTCTGCGTCTGTATGTAAACATAATTTTCAACTTACCTGCTTCCTGCATACCGACAGTTGATTGGTCGCTGCATACGGTTTTCATTGGCTGTAGTGACAACTACAGATGATACTGGCACTGCCCTTATTTTGTGCCGCTGCTGTGGTAGACGCGTGCAGGAGGACTTTGTTTGTGTTTTTGATGATGTATGGCTCAGCTGAGCATCTCTGGCTCGTGCCAGGTCCAAGGCGTAGATTAGACCCACGACGTGTGAGCAGTAGCCTGGTGCGCTAAAAATATAAGCGTGAGAATGTTATGTTTCTCCCACACTCAAGTCATACAGATTTGGAAAAACATGGGGAATGTTTTATTCTGCACTAAATGCACTAATTATGTAGCAGATGATTTTATATAAAGTGACTCACAATTGTGGAACATTACAAGCAATGTGTTGGAGATAGGGAGACCAGAGAAACTCCTCTAATCAACTTTTATATGTGTGCTGTGGTGCCTCATGAGAGATGGGAGAGACCAAATGAAGGGAAATGTTTTTATTTTAAAGTTGAATGGCTGTACAATGGTGAAATATCTATACACGACTGATAAATAACAGTAATTTGTGTATTAGAACATGTACAAAAAGTTTATAATCTTTATAATCATTTGTTTGTTTGGTGAATTTGATTCCCGGTTGCTTGTACCACTTATAATCTTATAATGGTTGTGCCCATGAGTATAAATGGCCACCAGCTGCGCTTAAACAGGTTTTTCAGGCTGAGATGGAAGTTGGTGAGAGAATAATCTGTTGAAGATTGAAAATATTGAGTTTTGTAAAACTGTTATTTATTTTTCTAATGTTCTTTATTTTTTTTAATGAAATTACCACGCCTGTATATTTATGTTTTTAACGCTACTGAAACATCTAACCAACAGAACACTGGTTCTCAATTCCAGTCCTGATTCAGATCATCCGCTCGTTAGGAGAGAGATCCATGAACTGAACTAATGCCGAGTTGACACTGCACGATTTTAGCCCAATTTTTCACTAACCGACAGGTTTTGCAAAATCGTCGACAAATGCCCGAAATCGGTGGAAAATCTGTGCTCGTTCATGTGAGTGACAATTGCGCTGTGTGAATGATCAAAGATGCGATCTGAGGGAATCGCCGATACGTCACCGACGCCCGTGAAATATTTGGCATGCTAAATATTTGGAGCAGCCGGCAATTCAATCATGCTGTGTGAAATGAGTTCTGACTGAAAAACACATCGGCGATGACCTACAGCTAATGAGAGACCAAGATACAGGGCAGTGGGAAGTTCGGGGAGGAGTTATATGAAACGTAGTTTGCGGACCAGTGTTGCCAAATCCGCAATTGCAGCCGGTTGTTTTTTATGTCAGCAGGTTGAATAATGTGGTATTTAGGCCCTGGAATGTGAATTGTACCTGGAGAACCCCGCCAAAAAAATTTATTTTACCCCCCGAATGCGATTTTTACTAGGGGACCCCCTCGAAAGCAATTGGGGTTTTTTCAGGCTAGTTGTGTAGTAATTGGGTGGATTTTGTAGTGCAAACCTGGCAACCCTGCACCAGACAGAGCTGTCGGCGATTCTTCCTATTGTGAAGTCATGCAGTGTGAAACCTCCTGTCGTCTTTCCATCGTGCAATGTGAACACCGCAGAAACTGAATGCTATCTGGGGTAGAACAGAACACAGGTCAGAGTCAGTCACCTGCAGGTGCAGATCAGTGCTGTTTTAGCTCTGATATAGGGGCGTCCCGAACTTAAAGATATTAAGTTATGCAGCAGAGGTTCATTTAGTGATGTGCATGCTTAGGCACTTTACATGTGGTTAATCAAGTCAAGTTTATTTGTACAACGCTTTTCACGATACAAATCATTGCAAAGCAACTTTACAGCAAATTAAGTTTCTACAATATTTAGTGGTAGCGTATCAGTGGTGACTGTCAGTTAATGTACATATGGCAGAAATGTACAGAAAAATCAATTAAAGACGTAATAAACAGACGATGAACACTAACCGCAATTATCATATGATGCAATCAAACTTATAGCAAAATGTGGTAGTTCTGTATGTTGTTTCAGGGTTGGCATCCTCTCTTCTCAGGTGCTCTGGATCCAGACTGAAGCTTGTGTAAATCCTAGTTACCATGCGATGTCAATCCCAGCAGAAACAGCGAAACGGAGACCTAATTAGCGTCGCTTCTGTTCCAACCAAGCAAAATTGATTTGTTTAACCCAAACTAAAGAATAATAATGTGCATTTGATCAGATATAACTGCAGTACAAGATTATGAGATGCATTATTTGAATGCTTTGCCAAAGAGATGTGTCTTTAATCTAGATTTAAACCGAGAGCGTGTGTCTGAACCCCGAACATTATCAGGAAGCTATTCCAGAGTTTGGGAGCCAAATGTGAAAAAGCTCTACCTCCTTTAGTGGACTTTGCTATCCCAGGTACTACCAAAAGTCCAGAGTTTTGCGACCTTAGGGAACGTGATGGATTGTAGCATGGTAGAAGACTAGTTAGGTATGCAGGAGCTAACCCATTAAGGGCCTTATAGGCAAGTAATAATATTTTATAACTGATACAGAACTTAATAGGTAGCCAGTGCAGAGACCATAAAATTGGGGTAATATTTTCTTGACCTGGTAAGGACTCTAGCCGCTGCATTTTGGACTACCTGTATCTTGTTTATTGAAGATGCAGGACAACCAGCTAGCAGTGCATTACAATAGTCCAGTCTAGAGGTCATGAATGCATGGACTAGCTTTTCTGCATCAGAAACGGGGAACATGTTTCGTAACTTGGCAATGTTGCAAATTGGGAAGAATGCCGTTTTTGTAACATGGGAAATATGATTTTCAAAAGACAAGTTGCTATCTAATATAACACCCAGATTTTTGACTGTAGAGGACGTAACCGTACATCCATCTAGTTGCAAATTGTAATCCACGAGATTCTGTGTACTGTCTTTTGGTCCAATAAGTAATATCGCTGTCTTATTCTAATTTAATAGGAGAAAATTATTGGTCATCCAATCTTTTAAATTAACACTCTGTTAGCTTAGATAATTTAGAAGTTTCATCTGGTCTTGTTAAGATACATATATATATATATATGGCTCTAATAATATTACCAAGGGGCAACATGTATATCGAAAATAGCAGAGGACCTAGGACAGATCCTTGTGGCACTCCATATTTTACTGGAGATAATTGAGATGACTCCCCATTTAAATGAACAAGGTGGTAGCGATCGGACCGGTAGGATCTACACCATCTTAAAGCCTGCCCTTGAATGCCTGTATAGTTTTGTAATCGATCTAGGAGTATGTTATGATCTATAGTGTTGAACGCAGCACTAAGATGAAGTAAAACTAGCAATGAGATACAGCCTTGGTCTGACACAAATTAAATTCTTCATAGAGATTGAGCAGACACGACTTTCTAAAATTTTAGACATTAAAAGGAAGATTTGAGATGGGTCTGTAATTTGCCAGTTCACTAGGATCTAGTTGTGGTTTCTTAAGAGGCTTAATAACCGCCAGCTTGAATGGTGTTAGGACGTGACCTAAAGACAACGACGTGTTAATAATATTGAGAAGCGTTTTTTCTGCTACAGGTAACAGCTCTTTCAGGAATTTTAGTGGGTACAGGATCTAACAGGCATGTTGTTGGTTTAGATGCAGTGATAAGTTTATTTAGCTCTTCCTGTCCTATAGTTGTAAAGCACTGCAGTTTATCTTTTGGTGCGATTAATGAAGCTGAAGTATTATACGCTGTAGAATCTACATTTGCTATTGTAATTCTGATGTGATCTATTTTATCAGTGAAGAAATTCATAAAGTCATTACTATTAAACTGTGGGAATATTTAGATGGGCTGGCGTCTGGTTATTTGTTAATCTAGCCACTGTGTTAAATAAAAA